TTACAGGGATTGAAGACTGCAGACAGTTGGACTACCAAAGCGATTACTCTACTCTATTAAATAGTAGACACGAGAATATGAAGAATTACAGCCAATAATCTACAGAATTTTCACAAAAGTATTAAAAATACATGCATGCTTCAAGAAAAATTCAATACTGTAGGTCAAAAAGACCAAGCGAGATTCAGATGTGGTTTTTTTGCGAGTGGCCTTCTGCAGGTATTTCAGACAAGCAGTGCCTCCTCTTTGTCTGGAGTTCGAGAAGGTTTTTGACTCAGTCAAGTTGTACGTTGTGGATTCCTTGAGTATCCAGGAAAGAGAAGAAAGATACAATAATCCCATAGTCATTAATGTGACTGCTAATTGTCAAGAGTAGTTGATGCACAAATTACATATAACCGGTGCTTTCGGTTTGATGTTTGGTGATTCAGAAGAATCCTGTCAACCATCAAAGGTTAAACGAATGTTGTCAGAATATTAGTCGTTTCTACCATAACACATGACAACGCTCAAAGTATTACACTAAACATGTGATTTGCCTATAAATTTCAGAGAAGGTCCGTAAATGGTTCAAAAGGAAATTGAATCTCTTTCATGTAAATTTCCTGTACTTTTTCAGACAAGTATTACCATGAACTTGCTAATAATGTTCCTCTGATAATAATACTCATTCACTGCTGAAGTTTGACACAAAACGTCTTTTGGAAAGAAAGTCATCCAGTTCAATGGCTAGAGACTCCCAGAAAATTCATCTTCAAGAATCTTTATTCTTAGCCGACGTTGAGGATGACAACCGCCTTGTCCATCCTCAGGGTAAACACTGAGCGGAAGCAAAAATATGGCACTACATAGGGAATAATTCGATTCGAAGCACACAGTTTATCAAATAACACATAACAGAGTAAAGATGTTATACCAAATAAATAAAATGCATGAAACATTTTACGACGAGTCCTCTCTGTTTTTATAATCATTGGATCAAAAGAACTTTGTATCATAAATCTTCTTTCGCGTAAGACATGGTAGGAAGTTTCTTCATTTCATTAGGTCACGGCTAACGGCATCTGTTTATTACTGTAATCGCAGCGAAAGATGTAACCTGTAGCAATGAAACGATCCATAAGAAACGCAACCTTTCAAAGATCAGCGAACCATCTGATGTACTCTGAAGAAAATTCTTTATTCATTGAATTTGAAGCGGGTTGGCACGCAGATTGTCGACCTTGAGCGTGAGGTCTCAAAGCACTAAATCCGCAGTTTAGTAGTCAGTATAACGGATAAGCAATATCTGCCAATATGTATATTTGTTTGGAATCATGGATGTTTACTGTAACACAATTACCGCCATACTTCTAGATTATTATGTAAGATAGCTACCGTTAACCTGAGCAGCTTACATCGAAGTTCTACTCATTCTTTCAGATCATGTAGTAATCGAAAATGTGGCTAAACCAGCTGTCTCGTATAACACGCAGGGAAGTCGATAAGAAGCAGATACAAAATCTGGTACCATCTGTTCTAAAGGAGCCAAGTCTGGAAGTGAAATGTCGCAAATTACGGCTTTTTGGTGTAAAGTGGTCTTCTTTGTGGCTTTTTCGTGAGCTATCTGCAAATTCCATACCAAATCTGCGAAGTCTCTTCCCGGGTCACATCACGACCTTTGCCAGCGTGGCGCTTAGCTGGAAACAGACTTATGACAATTTTTCTTTTTAAGATTTTTGAATTAATTTTAAAGATTAAAGATGTTTTGTCTGATGTATATGGAAGAAAATTATCATATCGCATATGCATGTATAGCAGAAAATTGTTTAGCGTTCAGAGAATAAACTTCTTTTTGTTGTTTCGTTCTTACTCTTCCTGTGCCACACTGTGGACGTTTCCAGGAGAAGGATGTGGCAGAAGAGGCGGATGGCAAACCGCTGCAGAAAAGGAACTGCCGCTAGAAAGGAAGCATCTCACAGCGATGATTTCCAAAAGTTGCCGCTTTATTCTGCCGAAGTTCGACGAGCTCGAGACGATTGCTGCCATGCCACTTTTCAACAACGCTTTCGTCCT